AATAATTTTGTTTAATTATTTTACATAATTAATTATTATATACCAGCAATACTGAGCTTATCATTTTCAAATCATTGTTTAATTATTTCTAATAATGCATTAATAAGAGTTGTAAAGAATTTTCATATAGGCTTGAATTCGTTATTGATTTTTCTGTGTGATTGAAAATAATTTGCGTTGTAATTTAAATTTTTTAAATTGAAATACCTTTGTTAAAGTAAAACAAAGAACTATTTATGAATATTATCATTTTTACTAAAAAATATATTTATTAGTTTTCTATTAAATATTTTATATTTTAGGATTCTCAGGAATACGAATTTGTACCTTGTGCATTTCTTGGCATAACATTGCTGTAGGTTTTAATATTGTTTCAACAGATTTATAAAATTTCTTATTACAAAATAAGTGTTCAATTTTTAATAGACTTAAATTGTTTACATTTTTATATTTTTATACAGATTTGATTTAAATTTGTTGTGTAAGCTAATCTGGGATGCTAAAATCTCATGTTATATATTATATTTTTTTATTTATATTATTATTTATTGATTATATTTATTATTTATATTATAAAACTTTTATAATAAATGTTTTATAATATAAATAAAAAATATTTATATTTTAAAACTTTTTTTTTAAAAATCAAATTATGTTTATGTTCTTTTAAATATTAAAAAAAAATTTGATTATAGTATAAGCCATAACAAGATTTAGCTAAAATAAAGTTAAACATCTGTTCTTATTTTATGCTATTACAATATTCATCTTCTTGAATATTGTAATAGCATAAAATAAGTATTTTTAAATATAACACAATTTTTAAAATTGTTAAGAATTAGAAAATATGTCGAGATCAAAAAGTATTGTGTTACTTTTATATATATATATATATATATATATATATATATATATATATATATATATATATATATATATATATATATATATATATATATATATATATATATATATTTGTGTGTGTGTGTCTGTGTCTGTGTGTGTTTTGCTGTTTTGTTGACATCACAAAAGTTTGTCTATTTAGTTCACTAGATGGAAGATGTATAATTGTTCAAGTTACTCCTGGCAGTGTTGCTCAGGAGGTAAGTTTTTTTTTTAGTAAAACATTACTTCATTTACAAAATAAAATATTTTTGTTATCTAAAGTTTATTTTATATCACATCTAAAATAGCAATACAAATTATATATTCTTAATTATAACTTAATTAAGAAGAAGCCATAGGTTAACCCATTTGGAAAAGGTTGACTTAATATGAAAGAATAACTAAACCTGTTTTTTTTTTTAAAAGAAAATTAATAAAATATAAATATGAAATAAAAAATAGTTTTTTACCCAATTAATAACATTTTATATCATTTTAATCAACAAGTGAAATGAATCTTTTAACAATATATTGAAATTTTTGTTACAATATGAAAATTAGTATAAAAAAAAATTAGTAATATTTATAATATAATTATATATGTATATTAGTTTCAACCTGATTCCATAATAATTGTTTATTTTTTAGATAAAGTTACTTGTGTTTGTCTGTGATTCTTATTTTGTAATTGAGTTTTTTTACTCTTTTATTTGTTTAATTCAACTAAAACATTAAGGATTTTTGAAAACAAGAGCGTAATACACTGTTTAGTTTTTGTAATCATTTTTATCATTGTTTCGCTACTTTTTTTTTAACAATGAAACATTGTAAACATACTTAGAATAATGGTGAAGTTTTGCAACTACCTATGTAGTATGTAACTACGCAGAAATGTTCTCCGGAGCTGTTTTTAAAACTATTTAACAAGTGTTTATCAGAGTCTTGTTTTCGAGCCTGTTTAAAAACAGCATCTGTTATCCCTATTTTCAAAAATTTCGAGAGTGATCTAACTCATCTAACTACTGTCCCATTAGTATTCTTATTATCACAAGCAAGGTTTTTGGATTTTTAATTAACAAGCACTTGTTCTCTCATCTTGAATTTAATAACTTCTTTTCCGCTCATCGATATGGATTTCAATCTTCACATTCTGCTGCTGATAAAACAGTAATAACTGATAGGTTTCATTGTACATTAGATAGATGTGGAAAGGTCAAGGCTATTGCTCTCAACATTTCTGAAACCTTTGATACAGTTTGGAATAAGCCCTCTTTTTACAGTTTATTAGATAGCATCTTAGATTATTGAATTCTTCCTTACCAATCATAGTATAAAAGTTATCCTCGATGGACAGCACTTTAATTCATATCCTGTAACTTTAGGGGTTCCTTAAGATTTTATCCTTGGTCCTATACTTTTTTTAATTTACATTAACAATCTTCCAGATATTCTCACATCTGAAGTGGCATTGTTCGCTGATGATAGTACCATTTATTCTTGTCATGATAAGAAGCCAACACTTTTTGATTGCTTGGAGGGGAATTTGAGCTTGAAATGGATCTCACTTCTGCTACAGCCTGGGGCTCACAGTGGCTGGTGAACTTTAATTCAGATAAGAACCAATTTTTTCAGCCAATCATTATTGCAATAATCTAGATTTTCCTATATTTATGAACGGTAATGTACTCAATGAGTAATCTACTCTTTGTTTTTTAGGATTAATTCTTACTATCGATCTTTCTTGAAAACCATGTATCAAATGCATTACAAAATTAGCATCTGCTAAGGTAAAATCTCTTTATCATGCTTGCCATATTCTGACTTTTATTGATTCTATTCTTTATCTCTATAAATCTCAAATCCATCCTTGTATGGAATTCTGTTGCCATATCTGGAGCGGATCTTCAAAGGATGCCCTTTCTTTAGATTCTTGGAAGGTTGGACCTGCTTTTGCAGCCAACCTTCAACCATTGTCATATTGTTGTAAGGTTACTTCTCTTTCTCTTTTCTATAAATACTATAATAGTTACTGCTCTAAAGAGTTAGTGTTTCTTGTGCCGTCTACTAAAGTTTATTCTTGTGTTACCTATTATTCAATTAATTCTCATCCTTTTACTGTTACTGTTCCTAAGTGCTCTAAAAATTCTTTTTTATCTAGTTTTTCTTGAGCATTAGTTCTTTGGAATTCACTACTTTCATCTTGTTTTCCTGATTCAAATAATTTGCAATCTTTTAAGTTGTCTGTTTATTGTCATCTTGCTCTATAAACATTATCTTTTCTCTCCCAATAACTTCCAAATCTAATAGTGGTTGCTTGCAGTCTTGTTATAAGTGAAAATGTTTTAAAAAATAAATGTGAAGTGCATTTGACATTTCATAACAACTTGCGAATTTGTAGATTTCTCATATACAGGCAGGTCTGGACCAGTAGATCATGAGACATCAGAGTTTTCTGTTTTTATTGCAGAAACTTGCATGCATTGCTCAAAGAAAATATTTCTTTTCTACATATAATAAATATCTAATAAAAGTTTTCCTTTTTAGTCCATTTTAAAAAGTCTTTTTTTTTTATCATTTTTGGCATTAAAATAAGGTGCATAGGGTGACATAGAATAAAAGGTGTATAGACAAAAGTAAATTGTAATTAACATGTAATAACATATTCTGAAAAAAATTGTAAATTGTTTTTGACAGCGATGACACAATTGTGCACAGATTTTTTTTTTTTACCAAGAGTTTTTTTTTTTTTTTTAAATTTTACACTTTGTAAACTACAAGTTCCCACATATTTTACCCTACTATTAATTTTTGATCTATTCATAGCATGGAATTCAACCTGGAGATTGCTTAGATGAATTATTCTCTCAACTCATCGATGACAAATGGTCTCAAAAAATTGGCCAGTTAAAGCGAAAAAATCAAGGAAAACCTGTAATTGCCACTTTTGTCAAGGTATAAAAAAACTTCAACACAAATATGAATGTTTTTTTATCAATATCTCTTGGTGATTAATATATTTTTAAAAAAACTTAATTTGAAGAAGCAAAATCTTTTTGAAATCCCTTAAAAATATTTTAAAAAAATAGAACATGTTAAATTTTTTAATTTTAAAGTTATGTTTGCAATAAGTAACATGATATAAAGTAGTAGGTTATTTTATAATTTAATAAAAGGGCCAGTTTTCAGATGGTCATTGGTTTGCACCAGTTTTCCAAAGATACAAGGCCTTGTGTAATGCTGGAAAATGTACAATGATTTTACAAAGAGATCGTTCTAATAGTTTTAGTTTCATTACCCCAAAGGAATCGTAAGTTACTTTATGAACAATTAGTTATACTTGATTAAATATTCGTAATTGCAACTAAAGTATATTGTTTTAGTAAAAAAATATAAATGTTTAAGACCCTTGTGATTTACAATTCTTGAAAGAAAGAAAACTTTAGAATATTTTTATTCTCAATATAACCTTGTAGTGTGCTTGGTTTGCATTTTTTAGATTAAATATGCATTTCTTTTTAGTGAGCCTCGGAATAAGTTTGATGTGCTTTACATTGGAAGTTATGATGTTGGAAAAGTGAGTAGTTGTTTTATTTAACGTGTTGCATTAGTGTGTGTAATATTGGAAAATACAAGAAAACATGTTATGGTAAAAAATTAAATCATAATTTATTATAATAATATAAATTATTAGTAAAAATATAGAATATTGAGTACAAAATCTCACAAAAACTTCTCTGAAAACATTTTTTTGTTTTTTTTTACAAAAAAGCAAAATGATGTTTTTTTTGAAAAAAGAAAAAATTTTAAAAGATGCAGAGATGGTTTCATTTGTATTGCTATTACAAAGCAACCATATTTATTGTGAAATGGTTGCTGTCATATTTTTATTCTGTTTTGATTATCAAGAAGATAAGTAATATACCGCACAGATTTATTTTTATATGGTTTGCAAAAATCTATACAAAAAAGTATTCTGTTTTTATTAATAATTTTAAACCAAACAAAAAACAATAGTTGTGTAAATTGCTTTTTGAAGGCGGCTCTATTACTTATATCTCAAAAACTGCAGAAGAAACACTTGGGGACTTTTTGATGTTATTACATAATATAAGCTATTATACTATTTTTGAAAAATATACTTGGTTCTGAGAGTGAGGTCACAGACTGATGCAATTTGCATGAGCGGATCGCAGTCTATCTATAAAGATCAGCAATTACTCATTGTTGTTTTTTTGCTAACCCCACCTTTACAGGTTTTAAACCCCAAAACCAATGAAACAATGTGCATAATTAGAAGTAAAAATACTAGGTTACATTATATATTTTACATGAAAGTGTTCTTGAAAGTGTTCTTTATCCTTTAAGAGCACTACGATGAATGTGCTAAAATTCTAATAGTATTATAACATTGTACAATCAACTTACATTGCTTAAAAAGTTAAGTTTATAGTTGATTGTTGACATTTATAATACAAGCAGAAACATCAGCAAACAGCGTTTAGATCTGAAGATGAGATTGTATGTTATGTACCTTTATTAGCAATGATTTTAAAAGGAATACACAATGATTAAAAATCTTTTGCAGTGCATAACTCTTTAATGTTTCTAAAAATTTAATTAAAAGTTTATTTATTTTATTTACTTACATATTTACTTAAAAGCATTGAAGAAACAGAGGTTTAAAAACTGACAAGAAATGTTTTTAATGTGAAACTCCAGGTCACAAACTGAAAAACTGTTATAAAAACAAAGAATGAAAACAATGTAACTATGGTAAATTAAACACTCATAATGACAAATCTTGTTAAAAACAAGCAACCACTATTAGAGTTGGAAGTTACTGGAAGAAAAAAGATGAAATTTATAGAGCAAGATAACGACTTCAAATTATATAATAATTGCTGTTATAAAATATATATGAAATATGCAAAATGTTATGGAAATTGTAATTGCTGATATGTCATGGAAATTAATGGACATGCTTGGATTTCTATAACGGGTAATGGGGAAGTTAACAGACAAATCTGAGTTTAATTATTTGAGCATAATAATCTGTTTATATGGTTTTATGCGTAGGCATAAACGTTCTATAAGTTATAAACTTTTTTATTTGAAACACAATTATTTAAAATGAGGTTAAATGCAGACTCAAAATATTTTTTGTAAATAAACCATAAAAAAAAAAAAAAAAAAAATTGTAAATCATTTTGAAAAGAAAGGATTTGCTTAAAGTACAATATATCATAACCTAAAAAGACTTGAAATTGTTCAATCCTTTTCTGATAGAAAGCACACTGGTCGTCCAACATCCTGGACTAGAAAGAAAGCTAAATTAACAAGACTTGTCAACAATCGAAAAGGGGTCAGTCAGAGGTCATTTTACTCTGTTACCCATTACTGGGTAACAGAGTAAAATGCAAAGTGCAGTATTTTTTTGTGAATTAATGTACTTAAATTCTTTTTATAAAGCATAAAAGTTTTTTGTTTTTTTGATTATGTACACAAAATAATATCACATAAATGGCCTCCAATAATATAGCCATTTTCCTTGAGACTCAACTTTCTATGTCGTCCAAGGGACATATAAAAAGTAACCATTTATATAAAGATTTGCTTCTAAACTGCTTGCAGGTTTGTTTATTTTTTAAAAATGCTTATTGAAAATGGAAAAATGTTTCTTTGCTTAAAATCGGCTAATATTGCGCTTGTGGGTTTGTATCTTTTTTTTAAATCTTTTTTTAATACTTTTGAAAAAAAAAATTTTTTTAAATAAACTTGAAAAATGTAACTTACAACATAATTTTGTCTAATAATAATATTAAAATATATTACATTTGTGGGAGGGCAATGCAAATGAAATATTTGTACGGTATTTGTATCTTATTTTACTTTTATATAAAAAAATTTTATCCTTTAAGAAAATATATTCCGCTCCTTTAATCCAAGAGGCTTTATAAGTGCGAACTGGCATAAGTGCAAACTAGCATAAGTGCGAGGCGTTGCAAAAAACTGGCACAAGCGTGAAGTATAATAAGTTGCGTTATTTGCCATTTTATTCGGCGCACTTGTGCAAGTTCGCACTTATCACATTTTGCAATTATGCCAATGTTTCCAAATTCTTTTGGCTCACTTATGCCAGTTCGCTGTTGTGCCAGTTTTTGTAACTGCTTTGCACTTATGCCAGTTCGCACTTATGCCATTTCGCATATATGCCAGTTCGTACTTACGCCATTTGCACTTATAAAATTCGCGCTTATTTAGTCGTTCCCTTTAATCAGGAAATACTCCGTTTCTTTAATAAGGATAAAAAGCTCGATTTAATTTCAAATGTCTTGACATTGCTAAATATTGTGACTCTCTGTAAAGACTAAAAAGAAGAAAATAAAATATAGCAATATCATTTGCTAAAAAATTTAATATTTTGTAATCTTTTCACTCACTTATATAATTTTTTCCCTTATCTTTAATTGTCGTCCATGATGCTCTGAAATAAAAACATTTTATAGAAAAATTTGCTACTAAATTGCTTGCTAGTTTGCTATCTGTAGGAAATGTTAATCTTTTCATTTTTAAAATAGGCTAATATTGCTTGTGGGTTTGTAATTTTTTTTTTATTTACTTTTTTTAAAAATTTTCCCGTTAGTTAATAATGCCGCCAGGCGGCAAAGTAACTTTCTGCTGAAAAGCCAGCTTTTTAGGAAGGCAGAAGCTGTAAGTAGCGGCCTCTCGTTCAATTTTTAACCGCAAAATGTTCTTTCTTCCGCCTCCAGTAGCTTCTGCTCTTCTATTGGTGGCCGCAGCCAGAGTTAATTTTTTGGAGGCAAAATGTTTTAGAGGTCGACGCTATTAGGGAGGCGGAAGCCATTGGTTGCCGCCCCAAAAAAAAATTGTGGAAACAAAATCATTTGGAGGCGGCTTCTAATGGCTTCTGTCTCTTAACTGGCAGCGACCGCCAAATTGGTGGCAGTCGAGAATGTTTGCCTCCCGCCAGCAGATGTAATGAAAAATAATTGCTCGTTTGCCTTAATGCAATTAAATATTAACTAGAAACAAATGTTAAATATTTGATATCAAATTTCATTTTATATGATTATGTGCAGTATTTAAAAAAGTTCTAATTTAAAAAAAAAAAAAAAAAAAAAACGTTAAAAGTTGGAAATTTTATTTCTATACCATTGGCGAATAAATCTTTGGCTGAAAAAAAAAAGAGACTGAATTAGGTAAAAGTTTTTTAGAACAAGTCGACATCTTAATATTACGTTAAATACTAATGTTAAATACTTATTTTTAATAATTGAATATTGTAAAAGTTATTGAAAAAATAACTGCGAATGTTTATAAAAAGTTTTCGACTACGCTGTATTATGCTAATAGTTTTACCAAATTACAACCAAAAAAAAAATAAAATTTATAAACTTTAAATATAAATACTTTTATAAATATTATTTATATTTTACTCTATAAGTTTAAAACGTTTAAAAATATAGACTCATCTACTTTTACACTTTTTAAAGTTATGCGATTAAAAGTTTCAAGTGTTTAAAAGTTAAAAATTTATTCGATAGTCCTAGAAAAACAACCGCTCTGACAAAATAATAATTTTTTTTCAAAATATTTTTTAAATAGTCAATAAATCATACAAAACAAAACTTTGATGTCAAATATTTAACATTTGTTCTCTGTTAATAATTTCATTGCTCGTTAACTTAAAGGCAAACGTGCAAATTTTCATTGCATCCGCCGCCGGGAGGCAAATATTTCTTCCTCCAATTTATCGGCCGTAGCCAGCTGGGAGGCAAAAGCTATAGGAGGCGGCCTCTGAATGGTTTTGCCTCCAAAATTTCTACTGGAGGCGGCCACCATTGGCTTTCGCTTCTCTCTATTGGCGTCGGCCTGAAAAACATTTTGCCTCCAAAAAAAATCTCTGACTGTGGTCGTCAATAGAAAGGCGGATGCCATCGGAGGCAGAACATAAAAAATTTTTCCGCTAAAAATTAATTGGGAGACAGCCGCCGTCTGCTGCGGAAGAAAAGTATAAATACTTTTCATTTTTAAAATTTGCTAAAATTGCTTGTGGGTTTGTATTTTTTTTTTAAATCTTTTTTTGTCAATAAAATACTTTTATTGACAAAAAAAAATTAGTTTCATACTAATATATCGTAACTCTTTGTAAAGACTAAAAGTAGAAAAAAAAATATCACAAAAATATTTGCTAAAAAATATAATCTTTTTTGTACTAAAAAGTAGAAAATAAACTTTTTAATTTAAATTTAATAGTTCAGTAAACTAAAGATTGACAGGTCTGCACAAGATTTATATAAAAACATACCTGTCAATCTTTAGTTTACTGAACTATTTAATTTAAATTAAAAAGTTTATTTTCTACTTTTTAGCACAAAAAAAATTATATTTTTTAGCAAATATTTTTGCTATATTTTATTTAGTCTTTAGATCAATTTTGCTCAACATTGTTAAGATAATTAAGAAAAACTGCCAATAATTAATCATAACAGATCATATTATTAAACTATGATGTTCATTTCATCTATGCCACTTTTATATAAAATACTATTTAAATCTGGAAAAATAATTGTAATTTTAAGGAGATTAAAAGAAAAAAAAATATCCAGTCTGGTATTTTCACCATAAACATTTTTATTTTATGTTAAAGCAAAATTTAAAAATTTCTATTTTTTTGTATTTTTATTTTGTCATAATTCATAGACCTGATCATTTAATTGAAATATGTTGTGGTTAGCAAAATTTTATGAAGATTCTGTAAAATTTTAAAATCTTCATAAATACACCAAATGACTATATTTTCAAATATTTTATTTTATATTCAGCTCTTAATTTGGAATGCAGCTGAATGAGTTTCTCATCAATAATAACTTAACCAACTAGAGTCTATAAACCAACTAGAGTTACAACTTAATAAAAAAGTCAATAAATATAAAACATATAAAAGTATGATTGATGTTTTGTTAAGTAAAAGTTCAGCAAAAATAAAAACGTTCATCTTAAAAACTTTCTTTAGTGATAACTGTGCAGTTTTGGTGCAATTGATGACTGAAGTAGTCAATTACTCAACAAACAAACAACTAAGTAATAAAATAATCATATCCTAAATAAAGTAATAAAATAATCATATCCTATGCAATCAGTAACACTAACATACAGTTTAAAATAAATGACAACTCGACCGACATGTGGAACTACTTCAAACTCAACATTATAAATATCTTAAATGCCATTTAACCAAAAAAGATGATGAAAAGATATCGATGATGATACAAATGTCTAAAAACAGGTAGTATTCCAAATGAATTTAAAATAAATAGTATTATGCCATTTTATAAACAAAAAGGTGAAATTCGTGATATCAATAGTTATTGAAGTATTACTATAGTATATCTACTAACAAAAGCATTTGAACAATTAATTGCTAAAATAGTAACTGCATACTTTGAACAAAATGATTTATTCAATGATGACCAACACGGTTTCAGAAACTGTGTTGCATGTTCTTATCTCTAAAGTAAAGCTAAGCAACTTAATAATATTAAAAATGTAAAAAAAAAATAAAAAAAAATAATATTATTCAATTTCGGAAAAGCTTTTGACTTAGTAGATTCCAAATTGTTAATTTTGAAGCTAAAATATATGGTTTTTCAACTGATGCTTTGAACTTAATAAGCAACTATTTTTATAATTGAAAAATATTTACAAATGTTAAAAATGCATATTCTAATGGAGAACAAATTAATATCAATATACCTCAGGGTTCTATTTTAGGAACTTTTGATTTTCCTCAATGATCTACATGAATATCTGACATTATTTGAATCTACATTATTTGCAGATGACACTTATGACAAGTGGCACCAATATAAACTATCTAATAACAAATACTCAGTCAGCATTTAATAATTTTCTTGAATGGTGCTAACTTGACATCAAAACTAATAATTTCATCAAATAAGCATACTTCTAAAATAATATTGCATCAATATTAAATGAACATCAATATTAAATGATGTTCATTTTAAGTTGAAAAGTTTGTGTTCAAAATTGAAATAGTTACTTTGCTTGGTGTCATGATAAACAGTAAATTACATTTTACCAAATACATAAAAAAGATAAAAGCAAAAGCATATAAAAAGTTAACTTATATATTTTGGTCTAGCCTTTAAAGTTCGTTAAAGATTTATAAAAACATTTATTCTACCTAACTTTGATTACTGCTTAAGTCTTATAATTTACTACACGAAAAAAAAATTACAAAATTAAAAATTAAAAAATTTGCCATGCCTACTATATAATTTTATTTTTACTAATCAAAATTAATATTCATAAAAAAGATATATTTCAAATCAATTAACAACTTAAAGCATACAAACCTATTAAACCTGTTAAACCTACAAAGTTTTCATCATCAATTTTTATGCAGAGCACTAAAACTATGTAATAAAATAATTTTTTTTACAAGAAACCAGTGAACTTGTTCAAACAATTTGATTTTATTAACCCTAATAACATAAAATATCTCTAGTCCAGGCTCCTAAATTAGCAAATTCTAAATTAAAGCTTTTAATGACTCAATTATCAAAAACTTTTCTATAATTCAGCAAAATAAAAAATATATTTAAAGTGCAGCAGTACCCTGCAATTCACAATGTCGTCTGGAAAAAGTAGTTCTGAAAAAAGTTTTTTTATTAGAAAACAAAGATAAATCAATATTCAAGTGCAAACATTGTTCAGTTAAACTTGAATTCCATCCATCAACTTTTTTTTGGATTCATCAAAAAAAGTTTGATAAATAAATTCATCAACATTAGATAGAGCACAACCTTTTCCAACCAAAACAGAAGTCAAAAAGATATACAGCCCAGTATTGTTGTCTGCCGTAACAAAATAGAGAGCATAGCTGAAAATGTAGCTTATATAACAGTGGTAGATCATTTCCTTTTTTGCGACTTTATCCAATAGTCAAGATAATAAAAATGGCTGGAAAACTCAAGGACCGAAAATTCTTAAACATGCTGTAAAGGCAACATTTTAAATTATGCAAACTTAATCAATTTAAAAATTGCTTAAGAACTTCAGCAAAAAATAAAAGAAGAAAAGTTTTCAATTTTTTTTAATGAGTGGACTTGGAGCAGAACTAGAAGATGCATTTGTCTAAATGAACATTGCCCAAACAAATGTCATGATGGTAAAGAAATGATCAGAATAAACAGCTAAGATAACAGATAAGAATAATTCTGTGACTTTACAATAGCAGTTATGATTGTTATTGACAAGTTAAATGTTAAATTTGCCTTGAGTTTGAATAATTATATCTTTTGTGTCACTGATGGTGCGTCAGTTATGAAAGCAGACAAGCTAGAAAGACAGAAAGCTATACAAAAAGGACAAGTTTTTTTGCCAAGTCCGTAATATTTTTACTTAAGTAAGATATATATTGCCAACAAATTTAAGTATATTCAAACCAAGAATTTTGCTCCGACGTTTTTTGTATGGCAAACAAACTACTCCTTTGGTTTAAAAAGTGGACCATACATTACTCATAATTTTTTGAGCTCTAACTTAGCAGAAGGAAACACTGATATAAAAACTTTAATTTAATTGTGGGTAATGGTAGAATTATGTTAAAAATAATTAAATATTTGTGAAATTAAATGAATACAATCTTGAAATTAAACTAATTACTTACATAAAATCTTCTTTAACAATGATAATGCAAAAATATATTGGTACACAACAGTAGACATTAAACATTAACATAAACAAAATAAAATAAACACCACTGAAAAAATTAGTGATGTTAGAAATAGATTATTCACTGGTATAAAGTTTTTTTTATATCTTAATTTAAGCTACTTGTAATATTTGAATCTTTAGAAAGGTAGCTGTAAGTTTGTTCAAAACGGAATTTCAAAGCTCTTAGAAAACAATGAGTTAGCCCAGGTATATATAAATTAATATTTGAATTTGTATTTTCTTAACTTTAATGTTTAATGCAACTACCCTAATTAACATACAGCAAAATAATTTCATATAAAACTATTGAAATTCTTTAATGAGTTTACCTGTGCCTTTGCTGTCTATTGTCTCCTTGTGTATGTATCTTTCTTTCTTCAGTTCCACATTCTGATTTCAGTATTTTTAAAGTAAAATTTATATATATATATATATATATATATTGATATTGTTATGTTATAAATGTTTATATATTTAAGTTTCAATATAGAAAAAAGTATGTTTGGAGTTAATGGAAAGAGATATTGTAATGAATTGTTTAGAAACAGAAGAGGTGAATGCCCTTTTTTGAAATAAATATAATTATTTACGAAATATAGATATTATTATTTAAAAACAATTATTTAGTGATAAATTTCTTTTTTTGCAATTTTGTTTCAGATTATTGGGCGATTTTCTTACACAGAGACCTCATCTTGTGCCTTAAAAGAAAACGACCCAACATATTTTGGTTTTATTACTGGGTTATTGTTTAAGTATTTTTGAAAATTTATTGTAAACATTATCTTCATTGTTGTTGATTATGTTTTTACTAACATATCTGTAAATTTCCAATTTTAGAAATACTACGTGTTCGTTTGCTGATCAGTTTCAATGTCACGTGTTTAAATGCAATACTTCAATGATGGTAAGTTTAATCGTCAGTAACTTATCATATTTTGCAGGCTGTTTTGTATATTTAAAATAAAAGCAACTTTTTAAAAAATTTTCAAGTTGACCTTGTTGATCCCTCTTTTCAAGACCCTTTTTAGCAGTTTTTCTGTTTAAAAAAAAGTTTATTTTATGCACATTTGACGTTTAGCCAAGCATTTACAGCCAGAGCATCAAACCTCAGATTTTGATGCACCATTGGACCATAGATGCTTAGTTAATTATTAATTTGCTGTTCATTAAAACATTTATCAGGATTCTTTAGTTTTTATTAAAATAATTTCTCCTTTTTTACTGTTTTCTGATGAAGAATCAAGTTGTGTCCAAATTGGAAAACCGGTTACTGTAATTTTAAAAATGAATTTAAGAATAAACGATTTCCATGATTTTTTTATTTGAAGCAGAGTACTTGTCAGACTCTTATACTTGGTTGAAAACTACCCAATCATTGCAAATTATATTTTTTAAATTAACCAATCGTTGTAAAATATAATTGTTAAATCTAGATGTTCAAATAAAAATGATGGATGATTACTTAAATGCTCAAGTTTGTTAAAAGTTAATACAAAGTTTAACATGTCTGATATTAAATTAATAGATTCTGTCAATGACGCATCAAAACGAGCTGTTAATTTTATTCAAGATTTGTCAAGTCATTGAATATGGGGAAGGCTTTATTTTGAAAAATTCTTTTAATCTTTTCATTTTCTTTTAACTGAAAAGTTTTTATAAACTCAAGTTTCGAAAAATAGGCTTTAAAATATATTAATTTTTTTGTTATAGTTTTTGTTTTACATACATACATACATACAAACATACATATACGTACATTTACTTTGATATTTATTTGGATTTATTGTTTTTAGGCAAGAACTATTATTGAAGGGATAGGTAATTATCATTTACGTATTTTTTTCTTTAGTGAAATTGTTTTATATCTGATAATTTTAAACCTATTTTTTTATTTTTAAGGCAAAGGTTTTGACCGAACAATTTATTGCGTGTAGAGTTTACATTTTTATAGTCTTTTTAAATATTTGTACAAAACATGATGAACCCAATGGAAGTATTTAACTAATAAAACACGATGAACCTAATGGAAGTATTTAACAAGAATTATCTACCTAAAGAAGATCTTTGAATAAATTTTACTTCGAACTCTGCTACACTTGTGATCGAAAATAAATTACTCAGGTTGTAATGAAAACTTATAAATATTTTAATATTTATTTAAAAAGTAAATAATATTTATTTATTTGACATTTATATATTACTTTATACATGATATTTATTTGTATAAAATTTGTATAAATTTATTTTTACAGATACCCGAACGCACACACATATACGCTGTAAAAATATAAAAAACTGATGTATTTTTATAATTTAATATAAAAACTATAAATAAAAATATTTTTTTTCTTAACAAATAAGTTTGTTACCAACACGAAGTACTTGAAAAAAAAAAAATCTTTCTGATTTTGAGTATTGGTGATGGAACTTGAGTCTACTTGGGGTTGATTTAATGTTGCTTAGTTATACTCAGGGTTGATTTAATGTTGCTTAGTTATACTCAGGGTTGATTTAATGTTGCTTAGTTATACTCAGGGTTGATTTAATGTTGCTTAGTTATACTTATTATGATGATTAGAGAGGAGGGTTTAAGTTTTATAAGTTGCAAAAGAAATTATAATTATGAAAATTTTTAGGGGGGAAAAGCACCCTTCCCTTCCCTTCCCTTCCCACCCTGGTTTTCAAACAATCCTGTATAAAATATATGTTAATAAAATTTTACGTGCTACGTCGCAGTTACGTAATTGTAATTGTGATTTTTCTGTTTGATATAAATTTTTTTAATTAAAAACAAAAGAATATGTGAATATGTGAGAGTATAATATTTGAATGTAAGAGTAATTTAGGTTAGCAACAATAAAATATTTTAACAAAATGAAAAGGTATAAATAACGGACTGTTTAAATTTATCAGACATACATGCGTATACAATTGTGATAGAATACGTGAAAATTAATGAAAAAAGCTAGCAACGTCTTAATAATAATATATTAAAATATATTATAATACTAAAAATTAAAAAAAAAAAGACTATATCCAAAATATACATAAAAATTAGACTTAAAAATCCGGATGGACTTAAAAACTAAGACATCCTATTTATCCTATTTATAAAAAAACACTTTTATATTTTAGATAAAGTAGATCATGTTCTTTTCCAGCGTTTTTAATGATCCTATAGGTGTTAATTTTAGAGACTATAGCTTTAAAAACGATGCTTTTTTTATGAAGATCTAGTTTCTATAATTTCAAATAAAATGTTATAAAACTGATCAAAAATGATGGCTACCATCTACATTTCAATCTTAGACCATTAAAAACTATGACGCAGCTTTAGCTATATAACGAAAATCTAATAGTGAAGCCAAGAAAACTGCTTAGTGACGTCAGTTTGTGGCAAAAAAAAAACTTTTTTCGTCGAGTTTGCTCAGCGTTTACCTTATATTTTTTGATTAATTTTTATTATGGTGCACACAATCGCACAATAAGATATAAAACTGGTATAGATATATCATTTCTCGGATAAGAGTTGTATTTATAACAATAGCAATAAATATATAGTTTTAAAGAAATAACATATTAATTAATATATTTAGAATATATATCCCAGAAAAATATATTCTGTTTATTATTAATAGGGAATAAAGCTGTAAACCTAAATCCTTTTGTAGCTTTTTACTCTGGTCAAGAATCTTTTTTTTTAATTAGTTTTCTATTTACGGTAAAATGTTTAAATCATGAACGATTTTATAAAAAGTTAAAAAGCGGAAATTGTGTTGAAATTTAAATGAAAAACGCAAACTGTTTACTTTGAATTTGGGGCTTTTGTTAATTAAGTCTAAACTGAAGATTAACGCGTGACAAATGCTGCCTATAATTTTAAAGTTCTATACGAAAAATGATGAGGACAATCGAAGTATTTAACAAGGAGTTGTCTTCCTAAAGAAAATTATTGTACTTTTTAGCATTGAAAAAATATCTTCTAAATTTGCTTACCAGTTAATTCGTTACAAATTCTGCAGCTCCAACATCAACTTGTCTAAAACCAACCTTAAATAACGTTCGAAAGGAAGTTAAGAATGCAATCGGCCCAACTGCTTGCAGCAGTTATGTAACAAATATTTCACATTCAACGCATGACACTCACAAAAAAAATGTAAATGAGCCAAGGTTCTCAAGTATTTCAGACTCCTTTCATATCTCAATAAGCTTAAAGTACTTGAGAGATTAAAAAATGCTTACAGCAGAAAAGTAGAAAAAAAAGTAAAAAATTACATAGACTTAACTTTGACGATGAGCAGTGAATCAAACAACAACTTTGATATCAACAACAACAACAACAACAACAACAAACCGATGTAAAAAATGCCTTAAAGTTTTTTTAAAAGTTTTTTAAAAAACTTTAAAGTAGTGCACGGTACCAGTGTGAAAATTCAAAATGTAAAGTTTTGTCAAACTTGTATATTAAAGGTATATTCAAGATGTGTTTCATTGCACAAAAAGCGTCGCACAATTGTCAACTCTAATTCCAACAACTTAACGTAATCACAATAGTAAAAATAAAAATTTATTAGTTGCATTTTTTTTTTTTTCAATTTTTATTTTTGGTGCTATTTCTGAGGCAAGTGCGCAAACACTGCGCCACGGCTGCTCATATTTTACCTCAGTTCATTTGTAAAGAAAAAAGGACTCTTATTGAAAATAATCGAACAGTATTCAATAAAAATCCCATTTATTTGTTATTGCGATTTTTTTTATTTATTTAATTACAATTGTTTTTCAACTTTTAAATTTGCTATTAACAAGTTTGATTTAAAACTCAACAAAAGTATACAAGGTCGCGAAAAAAGGAAAAAAAGCGTTTAAAAATATCTAAATATTAGTAAAAATAGAAAAGGTTGAAGGTCTTCTAAACACTGTGAAAAAGAAAAAAATAAAAAAGGTTGAAGGTCTTCTAAACATTGTGATAAGGATAAAAATAAAAAAGGTTGAAGGTCTTCTAAACACTGTGAAAATTCGAAAAATAAATTTTTTTATTATTCTTTATTTTTTAAAAACATTAATATTTCAGAAACATTTACTTCAATATAATAATAAAAATTAAAAACTTTTTCAATAATTTGAACTATTATTATTTTTTTATTTCTTAAAAAACACTATCAATATATTTTTTAATTTTAAAAATTATTAAAGATTCATATTTTTTAAAATCAATTTTTTTTTTTTTCATTGCTTACTTTATATTTTCTGCTCCTTCTATTAATATTGGTATTAGCAGTATATTTTGACGATGAATTGAAAAACATTTACAAAAAACTTCATTAGGCCGTTTTTTTTTTTGTTTTTTTTTCACAGTTGTTAGTTACATTATAACCTTTAACAAAATTTTCAAAATACCCATAAGAGTGAGTTTTTTAGAAGTTGGGATGCGGATGAATACAATATTTGATTTTATTTAAAATTTCTCTACGTATAAATATAACCCAGCTGTCAGCAGTCATAAGCTCTTAAAGTTATCTGTCTAGTAAGTTTAAAGTTTGGTTGACTTTTTCCTTATTTAATTATTTTTGTTCTGAAACTAGAAAGAAAATTAAAGAATCAAAAATCTGATACTTGATAGACATTTCCAACTATGAATCGAAAAAAAACACAAACATGGAGTGAGGTACTATGAGTGTTATAAAACCTTTTAGTTTAAGCATTTCCAATATTGGGATTAAACTTGCATTTAACATAAATGAGGCTCTGAGACTATCACTAATAGTAACTTTGCAAACTTCTTGCCTACCGAGTACAGGTAAAAAAGATTAACAAACCAATCCTTAAATGAGATAATTTAAAACCACCCACTTTTTGAAAAACTTTTATTTCAGCTGGGTCTTATTTTATCTTCGATAAACATATTTCATTAGATATAGCTGAAAGAGTTGTCTTAATTGGAACACAAAAGGCCTCATGGTTATATTTTGTATTTTTCTTGTTAACTGTCTGATTTTCTATGTTTTGAGAGATTTCGAAAGCTATCCCTTAAAAAATGCACATGCACTATCAGTTTAAAACTTTTTTGCGTCATTCTTTTTTTTTTTTTTGATGATCTAATTTTGTTATATCATTGCAATGATACAACAAAATAGTCCTAAATTACCTTAATTGGAATTACAAAATTTTTCTTATGTAATAAGTGATAAAATCAAAGGGTCGAAGAAATAGTTCAGGCGCAATTTAAAAATAAATAGTTACAATAATAAACTTTAAAAGTAGTACTTCGCTTAGTGATTGTTATGAAATTAGTGAAATTATAAAATAAAGGAACGCCATAATAGTTGAAGATTTTGTGCAATTTATTATTTGTACACTTTCATTTTGCCAGGGCAGTTTTAATCCTATTATAAATTTTTTCAATAAACTGTTTATCACTGTAAGTTATCACAGTAAAGATGAAAGTCAATTTAAAATTGATTTTTGTTGATTTTACTTTGTGTTTTTTAAAAGAATCGAGCTGTTCTAAATAAGGAATTACAGTGTTCCAGTTTAAGAAACCGATTGCTGTGATTGGAACAAAATGGTGCCTTGACAAAATCAAGCTTTTTTCAGCAGTGTAATCAATTAAGTCAAATTATGTTTAAATGTATTGTAAGGTTGTCTGTTTGTACTTTTTTTAATGTAAGTTTACCTCCCCAAGCCTGAGAAGGCCACTACAGCCGAGTTAGCTACTTTAATTGTGGTTACCTCTCTCGATTAATTCTGAAACACGTACCTTGACAAACAAATCCGCTGCGCGAAGAAACAAGTTGATAACCAGTATTATTCAAATCATTAATGCTTTCATAGTTCCACCTTTGGTTAAAATATATTTATTCTTCAGGTCTTATAAATTCCTTAACTCTCTTCTTGTACTATCGAGGTAGTAGCTAGTCTAATGAATTGCTACAATAGATAAGTAACATTGTAGACTTCGACCTATTTATAGTGCTTTCTGAATTCTTTTAATTTAAGATTTTCTTTTTTTGATTGTTAAAATACTAATTAACTATTTTGTGCGCATTTGTAGCTCTAGCTTGTTTTGCATTACCAACAAACTGTTTTGGTGTGAAAAAATGTTGCCTAATTTTTACCAAGCTAATTTTTTTTTTAAAACCTGGCCCTGCTATTTTTTTAGTCAAAAAAAGGCTTGATAATAAAAGTCTAACAATATCATAGAATTTCCAAACTCAGAAACTTTACTCAAATGGTATTTAAAAGAGTGTTCGTAGTAAAATTTCGGTCATGGTAAAACTTTGTTTGCTTTTCTTCGGTTCTTTTTTTTTTTTTGCAGGCTATATAGAGGTCTCTTTTTTT